TTAACTGCTGAGCAGCAAGGTACTGAATCAGAAGACAGTACACAGAGTCTGAAAGAGAGGTTGAGGTCACAACAAGTATACAAGAATCCAGAGACAGATCAAAAGCAAGATGGGTAGTACATGGGAACACAGAAGTACGTAGTCAGGTCACAATTGATTTAGGAATTAGATGAAGATGAAAAAGGATTAGGACTATCCTTAGAAAAAGAAAATGTTAAATAAAAAACAGTAAACTCTGTGGAGCACTTCACTTGGAGGTCTTTTGTCTGCCAACCTTCTTCATGGGTCTATAAAAATGTATTACTACTTTTATTAAAGGTTTCTAAGTGAAAATCAAGTACATCTAGAAAGGAATATAGTGAACATTTGTAGATAAACAAAGCCATGTCATTGATATGGCTTTTTTTATCAACTTAATCATGCAATTACCATAATAATCATGTTGCTGTCAGCATAGTGATGAATGGCTTTGTTGGTAAACAAACCCATTTATCACAAGCTCATTGCTGTTTATGAACAAAGCCATGTGTTCACCATGTCATAGCTGACATGGTGATTAATGTCTTTGCGAGAGATAAAAGAGTTAAGGTTACTTTTAAAGTTAAGCTGGAAATAGATGGATTGAAATTCGATCAGTTCAGCAGGAACAAATTTCAATCCATCTATGGGCAGGCTATCAATTGACTTCAGTACATCCAGCCTGTCAGGGATTTTTTGTATGATCACTGCCAGCGTCTATACCCACCAGCAATGATCATTGCATTCTGCCTATGGGGAAGGCTCCCCACTGGCAGAACACAATGGCTTTGTGGGAAGGGATTCCCCCATCAACACTGATTGTCTTCCAGATCCTGTGTCAACCGAGCAAAACTATGCCCCATTCAGAGAATGCCTTACATTTTTTCAGTGAAAATGCAAAGCGTTCTCTGATTGGACAAGGTAGAAAGGCAAGGCAGGAACTGGAAAACAACAGGAACCACTGTAGTAGCGGTGGATACTACGCTTAACCACTCCCGGACCGCCTGCAATGTACTGCAGATGGGCGGCAGCTACAGGGCACGCAGCCCTCCACTGCCCACGTCCACTGTATCCACTGGACACAGTGAACTGAGAATCCCATTAATTGGGACCTGATGATCATGCGATTGCACAGTGATCATAATGACAACAAATCTTTTATGAATCAATCTGATTCAAAAAAGCTTTGCTTTTGTTCCTGGAGAGCTGTGATTGGTTTACAGCTCTCACATGGCACATGAGACTAATCACAGCACCCTGTACCATGTGACCAGCTGGAGCCAATCACAGATCACTATTATGTTGAACTGTTATGAACTTAACACATTCATGACAGTTCAAAGCAAGCTTTGCATTGCAGAGTAACAATCCTCATTGCTCATGCAATGCAAAGTGTAAAAAAACATTCCTGATTACCCCCCAGAGTAGTACAGTGTTACTATGGTAACATTGCACTTCTCTGATAAAAATCTTAAAAACAAATAGTAATACATGAAAAATAAATGTTTAAAAGAAATAAAAAAAAGTAAAAATGTTTTTTTAACTATTTGCCACTTGCCTGCCAACAATGTGTGAGGTAGTGGTGGATCTGGGCAAAGCCATAGTCCCTGTGTTGCTTTTTATTCCTGGGTGTGTGGGTGCATGCGTGTGCCCCCCCGCTGCCCCCTATATCGCCCAGGGAGAGAAGAACTAACATGGCACTGAGTAAAAGCACTACATTTTATGCAGGTTAGATTAGCACATTTAACTCTTTGATCACCCCATCAGCCAGTGCCATTGGTACAATGTCAGTATATAGAATCTTTCACAGATCACTGTATTACTGCCACTAGCGACATCAGATAGTGTCAGGGACAGGTAGTTCCCCCTTCCAGCCAGGGTCAACTACCACTAGATTGCCTGCACACTATTGCACTCACGCTATAGGCTGCTGATCACTGCCATTGCTGGTATAATGTTTGTACAGAGCAATTTATTGATCACGAACAGAACTATACTAGTGCCTCCTTTGTATAGTGTCCCAAAAACTCAGTGTTTACAGGATCGGCCCCCATTCACTGCCAGCACTAACGTTTAGTCCCTCTGCTGTTTTTTCACTGAAGATTTGTATATTAATTGACTGTGGCCAAAGCAATTTATACGTACAGCAATACATTGCCACCCACCCAAATTCAGCTTTTGCCAGACATGGAATCATGGCTTCTTTTTTTGGGCCTATCCTCAACATGGGCATTACAAAAAAAGAATGAATTGCGGTCAAATTGGCCCACAGACCCAATTCATCATATGCCCATGCTGCCCATGTTCTCTGGTGTTACATATATGTCCAACATGGACCAGCAATGTCCTGGTACGTTACTGGACTTTGAGTGTTTATACCAGGATGATGCCTGCAGCTACAGGCATCATCCTGGTATAGTTTTTTCAGCTGGCAGTTGGCTTTCATGTAAAAACAATCCTAGCTGCTGATTAGCCACTGGATTGCTTTTACAAGCAGCGGGAAGTGATTCCCTCACCCCTCCTGCCACCTTCCAAGGTTTTCTTGGACTCTCCCATCCCACAGGGGAACCCAAGAATGCAGCCGGGTCCGCTGGCTGACAATAGAGCTGATCGGAGACTGGAATACCCCCAATCATCTCTATGGTCTAAGAGACCGGATGCTACAAGCATTTTATCATTTCCATTTTGCCAGATATAAATAGCACCATTTTAAAATTGGGGAAAGCATCTGATCACACTGATCTTGGTGTGATCAGATGCTTTAAGGGCAGAGGAGAGATCTAGAGCCTAATAGACCCCAGATTTCTCAGAAAAGAGTACCTGTCACTGCCTATTGCTATCACAGTGGATATTTATTTTCCCTGTGATAACAATAAAAGTGATTAAAAAAATAACCCAAAGCATACAAGTAATTCAACAAAACAATGGCTGCAACAGCACAGAACACGCCTTCTGGAGTGGCCCAGTCAGAGTCCTGACCTCAACCCGATTGAAATGCTGTGGCATGACCTTAAGAGAGAGATTCACACCAGACATCCCAAGAATATTGCTACACTGAAACAGTTTTGTGAAGAGGAGTGGTCCAAAATTACTCCAGATCGTTGTGCAGGTCTGATCTGCAACTACAGGAAACGTTTGGTTGAGGTTATTGCTGCCAAAGGAGGGTCAACCAGTTATTAAGTCCAAAGGTTCACATACTTTTTCCTCCCTGCACTGTGAATGTTTACATGTTATGTACAATTAAACCATGGCAACATCTAATGTTTGTGTAGTATTATGTTCAGCAGACTGTGTTCTTCTATTGTTGTGACTTAGATGACGTTCAGAGCACATTTTATGCCCAATTCATGCAAAAACTCCACGTAATCCCAAGGGGTTCACATACGTTTTCTTGCAACTGTGATTGACAACTTTGTGTAAAAAAAATAAAATAAAAATGTAATTTTCCAAAAATTTGTGGCAAAAAAAAAAATGTTCCATGGACTCAACATGCCTCTCAGCAAATTCCTTGGGGAGTCTACTTTCCAAAATAGGGTCATTTGGGGGGGTTTATGTACTGTCCTGGCATTTTCGGACAGGCAGTCCGAATGTAAAAGCTGTGTAATTATCAATATATTTATCATAGTTTATAGACGCTATAACTTTCACACAAACCAATTAATATACAGTAAATGCATTAGGATTTTTGTTTTACCAAAGACATGTAGTAGAATACATTTTGGTCCAAATTTATGACTAACGTTGAGTTTACCACATATTATTTATAACTGAAAGTAAAAAATATAGTTTTTTTTCAATATTTTTCGTTTATATTTTAGTTTATATCACAAAAAATAAAAAAAAATTGGTGATCAAATACCACCAAAAGAAAGCTCTATTTGTGTGAAAAAGGACATAAATTTCATTTGGGTACAGCATTGCATGACCGCACAACTACCAGCTAAAATAGCACACTGCCGAATAGCAATAATGGCCTGGTCATTAAGGGGGGGGGGGGGGGTAAATCATCTGAAGGGCAACTGGTTAGGCAAGGTATACACCTTCAGTTTTTTATTTGTTAAACCAGCAGGTTGAAGTGTTGATTAAATGCTGGTTTTCCAGAATAACTGTTCAACAGAAGCCAGTCATTACGCCAGCTTCTGTTGAACAGTCATTGGTACACAAAGACTGAAAGTTGGCTTTGGAGTTAGCATTAGGATTTGTATTGGCTTTGTTAGTTTTTATTTTTTACAATTTTTTTTTTTTTTTTTGCATATCTCAAGTAGCACTCTGCAGAGCAAAATTAAACATAGAGTCAGTAGTTTTACTACAGAATCATTGACTCTGCCGTATGAGTAAGTCTGGGCAGTCATTTTTCCTTCCATTGGCTTTGTAGGAAGTTTCAACCAGACAAAAAGGAGTTGATTAACTAAATAGGCTTACTCTGCAAAGGGAGTTGCATAGTGGAAGGAGAATTTTCTCCAGAGCTTCGTAAATGTGATGAAATCTCACTTTTCAAAGAATACCTGATCAGGTGCAAGGAAAATAGGAAAAATGATTTTTGCTTGCATATGATTGATGAGGGAAGTCACCTGGGCTTCACCGTGTTCACTAAGCTCTTGGAAAAATTCCTTTTTAAAGTGAACAGTCTATTTGCCTGTAGCAAATCAACCACAGAGTATCTAAAAGAAAACAGCTTTTTGATCTGTTCTCTTTTTACTAAATCCATTTTACTAGGTGAATCTTGTGTCATGGGTGCACCCTTATAAGAGACTCTGTCAGAGTCCATTCATTTCAGCAACAATTGAAGCTGGACCAGCACAGACATTTACTAGACACTCCAAGAAAAAGAGAGGGCTATGACATGCAAGGTGGAAGTGGGCTGTACTAGAAGATTGACACTTCCTGGATTGATGACATTCCCTAATAGGGTCAAAGGCACATTGCAAGTGAATTAAAAAGACAGTAATTAGACATTATGTTAGGAAAAAGTTTACTCTTACTTTCTGTTCTTCCCTTTCCTCGGCTATGTGACACTTCTCCAGCCCCCATGCTCTCATGAAGTCACGTAAGTAGCCAAATAAGATGAGAATTCCATAACAAAGATATGTGAACACAAGAATGTGCATGGGGGCTTCTTCAAAAGACTCTTTAAACTTTTTTTTGCGCAGGATGTCTTTAACAACTCCATTCTGTGTAAAGAGAGGAAAAAAACATTAAATAGTGTGAAGAGCGAATGGACTAATCCTGGGAAACCCAGAGAATTGGGTGTATTCACTGCAGCTGGAATTTTGGGAACAATTTGCAATCTGCCGGTTTGGCTAAAAAATTAGTAATGTGATCTAATTCACTAGTAGCACTAAATAAATCTTTGTATGAATTTAAATGAAAGTATATATCATGATTTAACAGACATCACCACCAGTTATAAAATGTAAAGTTAGGTGAATCAAAGTTAAATAAAATTTTAACAAATGTGTAACTTTTCCCTTGAATAGGAAATTTGGGAAGAAATTACTTTGGATTTAAATTTTAATAGTATTGCCTAAATCTAAAGACGTGTGGTTAATACAATAGGATCCAGTTCACTCATTAAAGCACAACTCCATCTATTTCTTATCACTCATCTCCCCTCACCTGTGTTCAAAATAAAACATTTTTAACACTATTCACCCTTTCCATACTGAAGAGCCGCCCTCCATTTCTTCAACCACTGCTCATCACAGCCACTTCTAGGTTAAATGACATCTGGTGTCATTTAACCCACTTCCTGCGGGCACAGACTGTCATGGACACACCCCAAGGGGATGCATCACCACACCTGTCTAGGTTCAAAGTACTGCAGGGCAGAATGAGAAGGTATGTAGTTAGGGAACACAATGAGCAAGAAGGTATGTATGTAAATTCATGTTTTATGATTTCATGAGGGAGGTTAAAGGAGAGGGATAGTTGAACTGAAGGCTGAAGATGGGCTTCAAATCTAAAATTTAGACAAGGCTGTATAAAATGATGACTGTCTATCCCAGAACATTTTGTGTTAGAACCAGATATCAAAGCTGGTTGAATATTTAGCAATATGATTTTTACAATTTTAGATTTACCAACAAATATGTAATGGCAGTATTCTTCCTGATTAGTTGTACCTTGAATGGACTGTTTAGGAGACCTTTGGATTACATTGTAAGAGCGCTACCCTCTGAGTATTTTTTCAGTCCCCTGCTCGCTCTGAGCCTGATTTGGAGTACAACCTCTGCTGACACCATCATATACCCTTGTCCAGGAGGACCCCCTGGCTGTGAAACACAAAATAATCACATGCTTTAAGGTGAACCAATGCTCTGATTGTACTGAAGTTAGAGGAAAGGTAATGCAAGCACAAATGGAACAATGGTAGGTGTGTACAAAAGATATTCACTTAGGAAAACTTAGTCAGAAAGACATACACAGTACCACTTTAAAGAGACCCAATTGTCCCGCAGGACCAGAGTTTAACCACTTCCAGACCGGACACTTTTACCCCCTTCCTGACCAGGGCAATTTTCAGCTTTCAGCGCTATCACACTATGAATGACAATTGCGCGGTCATGCCACACTGTACCCAAATGAATTTTTTACCATTTTTTTGAGACAGATAAAGCTTTATTTTGGTGGTATTTATTCACTGCTGGGATTTTTATTTTTTTTGCTATGTAAATGATAAAGTCCAAAAATTTTTTAAAAAAGTGTTTTTTTTTTTAAATTTTGCAAATAAATAATATTTCATCATAAATCTTGGCCAAAATATATTCCGTTATCTTTTAGTAAAAAAAAAAAAATCCAAATTAGTTTATAACCAAAAAATAATTTTTAAATATTTTTTTTTTACATTTTTATTTTATTTTTTTATATTATTAATATTATTTTTTTTTTTCTACATACAGTCACCCTAGCAGTACAGTGTCACCATGGTGACACTGTACTACTTGTGGGGGGTGATGAAGATTTTTTTTTTTTCTTACACTGATTGCTTTTACACCCATATAGGATGTAAAAGCAATCATTTCTCTTTCTCTCTGTCTGCATTCTTGCAGTCATTGAGAAATACAGAGTGAGCTGTGATTGGTCACAGCTTGTCACATGGTACAAATGAGTACAAAATGAATAGCCTTGTACCATGTGACCTCTGTGATCATTCACAGAATTCACACGTAGTAAGCAATGATGTCACAAGTGACATCTTGCTTGCTACTTTTCATGTGATCACTGATTGGCCAATCAGTGATCACATGATCGGGACCTCGTACAGAGGTCCCGTCTGACTATCGGTGTTTCACTGTGTCCAGAGGACACAGCGGGCACCGGATCGCGGTGCTGTGTGCTCCTAGGGAGCGCGCACAAACCAGGGTGCGGGGAGGCTGTTTATAAACGGCCACCCGACCCTGCACTGCCACCGTCCGGCCGTTTATATACAACGGCCGGTCGGGAAGTGGTTAAACATTAATCTCGGCACTGAGATGTTTTCTTTCCCAAAGTGAGCTGAAAGAAATAAACGTTGGGCTAACTCACTTATAGGTTCTCACTGACTAGAAACAGGGTTCATCTCAAGGTGAATTTGCATGTAATAACTTCCCCTCTAGCATCACACCCACATATAGAAACAGATTCTTCTACATGCTTGATGGGGTCCTAGTTGGTGCACATTAGAACTGAAGTCCTCTTGGATGGAAACAAGATCTCCTGAAAAGGGTACAGCAGTAAGAGAAACTCCCCTAGAGTGATGGTAAGAAAAACTGAAAAACTGAGGCAGATCCCCAGATGAATGCAAGAATCATCAGAGTTTGGAAAAGGAGCGGGAGTAGACTTCAGTTGAATTGAATCCTTATAGGTGGTGAATTAGCCTGATGAAGCAAGTTCCTTTGCAGCTGGAGGAGGTTGGAGATGAGATATTAACAGTATTCCCGCCTGCAAGGATACACATGTAGTAGTAAGAGTCTTGCGTTCAGAGCAATGGGGAGACACTAAAACAGTAGGCTGCAGTACTGAAGGGGCTAGGAAGTCTGTGTCTCTTGAGTGTCAAGCTGTGATGAAAGATGTACTGAGCTGAAGCAACTGAAAACAACAGAATCACTTGTAACTTGTGACAGTCTGAGTTATGGAACCCTCCCACCCAGTCTGTAATCCTAGCAAAGCATAGGATGGTCTCTCGGTTGGGAGGCCCCCCTGCTCTCTCTCGATCTCTCTGAGGAAGAAGTGACACCACAATCCGTCTGCCTGCAGAGTCGATTCTGTTGCTTGTCAGCAATACCAGTGATCTGTAGTCCCTCTTTTGAGCTTTCCGGTGGGACCCAATCTGGCCTATGTCCTCTGCGTCCCACACATGCTTCCCCCTCACACGCATCCTCATGCCCCCACCTTCTCACCCCCCTCCTTCCTTCAACCCCAGGAAGTTCCCTGGCTTTTGATTATATAGTCTTCCGCCCCTTTGCCAGCTCTACTGGGAAATGTAGTCTGTTTCAGCTTGTCCAGGTTAAGAAGTCATGCTATCAGCACACAAGCTCAACAATGCTTTGCTATATTATAGTCTGTAGTAACTAAACTGCAGAACACTGCCATCTTGTGGTTAACTAATATCCTGCAATCAGTAATAGTGCAGTGTGTTACAAGAGATTACAAAGAGATTGTAAAATCCAATTGTGTGAACTGTCCTACAAAGAGTAAGGACTGCCATTGCTGACCTTTTCAGTTTACTGGTTGTGTTTGGAATCAGTAAACTCTGGCAATTATTCCTTTTCTTTTCTGTTCAAAATCCAGTAATACACTGTCTCACCCTGCTCTGCACATGCTCAGTTGTTCTCTATTTTTTGGCAATGTGATGAAAATGTAGAGGCTGATCTACTGACAGCTTAAGATTTACAGCTGCTCAGGGGTTTAACAAAATGACAGCGTCCGACAAGAAGAAACCAGTACAATGCTGGAGGAAATTTATAGCACACACTAATTTTGATAGCATACAAATTACTGTGGAATGCATGTTCCTTGCTAAAGAACACTATTTTTTATCAAGTTGTTATAGATAAATATTTTTATTTTTACATTGCAGATGGCTCCAACAAACAAATAGCTTGTCCATTTAAATCAAGTGTATGGGATAATCCCCCAATATGGCTTTGTAGTGCCTCTTTGCAATCAGTGGGTGGGACTCCTTCACTTATATGTGCCTCTCTATTCGAGCCTCCGGTACTGACTCTTCCTCTGTGGTTTTATTTTTCTTTTGGACATATTCAGGTAAATAGAAATCAAAAACCATAGATACATATTAGGCAGAATAAAATAATATGTGTTAAAGCAATATATATGTTTTTCATATTTAGTGGTAATCATCTCTAGCTCCTGATGAAGTGGCTAAAATCCAAGAAACACATTGAGCTTTCTGAGAATCTGGATCTGTAACTTGTATTGTATTTCGAGCTGCGGCTTTCAAGGAATCTGTGATTTTAGACATGTAATTTGATGTAAAAAATGTTTTTAATATGTATAAATAAAGTGTTATATTTTAAGAGAACGTTTGTGTTGTTCCTTAAAAATCCCACCATGTCAAATGTAAATTGTTATGGGTAAAGTTCCGATTTGGTAATAAATTATGGAACAAATTTATTTGATATGAGAAGAGTCCAGATGTTGATATTCAAAAAGAAAACAATTGACTTGATGGCTTGTAAGCATTAAACATTACCATAAACATTATCATTATGGGTCATAGGAAAGTTTAAGGAAATAAAGGTTCATGTGCTCCCCAGCTCAACAAGCAAGAGCACATTATAAAATATGGAAAAAAACTCTTGAACTGTCACATTTGGAATAGTTCAAAACTGAAATAGAAATAGAAATTTACAGCCTGAATATGTTTATTGTATATTTGGAATAAACAGCTTGCCAGTGCGTGGAACATGGTCAGTTTGGAATTAAAGCAGTTAATTTCCTCTTGTGTCTGCCAATGTGTGTGGGTTTGTAATGTCAACAGAGCACAAACTGCTCTGTCAGGTTCCACTAGTTTCACTGGTTCCACTGGGTTTGACTCCACAAATATTATTACACCCAGGAAAGTCATGATCAGCAA